TAATTTAGTTATTTTTCTAATATCAATACATCTTCTTCAATATATGGAATATAAAATAAAAAGTTTTCTTACCAATATTTCCCTCATTTCTTCATTTAACAGCAGGTGCGCCTCCAGCTTCTCGAACTCACTAACATTTCCCAGTGGAAAAGAGTAGAAGAGTGTGCCTGCATGAGTGAGTCCATCTGAGCTCTAAGAGACGACACTTCTGCTCTTAATTCAGAGATTAAGAGAGAGTGCCTTCTAATTCGCTCGTCTGTCCTATCCCGCTAATCGGACTCTTTCAACTGAGTTGAAAGAGTGAGAGCGGGTTCTGGACCACCCTCAGCTTGTTGATCTTCTGGTGGAATATCAGAAAATGATTAAAAAAATTGTAATATATTAATTATTAAATTTTAATAGAAATTAAAATTAATTAATTTAGTTATTTTTCTAATATCAATACATCTTCTTCAATATATGGTATATAAAATAAAAAGTTTTCTTACCAATGTTTCCCTCATTTCTTCATTTAACAGCAGATGCGCCTCCAGCTTCTCGAACTCGCCAATTTTCCCAGAGGAGAAGAGTAGAAGAGTGCGCCTGCATGAGTGAGTCCATCTGAGCTCTAAGAGACGACACTTCTGCTCTTAATTCAGAGATTAAGAGAGAGTGCCTTCTAATTCGCTCGTCTGTCCTATCCCGCTAATCGGACTCTTTCAACTGAGTTGAAAGAGTGAGACCGGGTTCTGGACCACCCTCAGCTTGTTGATCTTCTGGTGGAATATCAGAAAATGATTAAAAAATATTGTAATATATTAATTATTAAATTTTAATAGAAATTAAAATTAATTAATTTAGTTATTTTTCTAATATCAATACATCCTCTTCAATGTATGGTATATAAAATAAAAAGCTTTCTTACCAATGTTTCCCTCATTTCTTCATTTAACAGCAGATGCGCCTCCAGCTTCTCGAACTCGCCAAATTTCCCAGAGGAGAAGAGTAGAAGAGTGCCTGCATGAGTGAGTCCATCTGAGCTCTAAGAGAAGACACTTCTGCTCTTAATTCAGAGATTAAGAGAGAGTTCCTTCTAATTCGCTCGTCTGTCCTATCCCGCTCTTCGGACTCTTTCAACTGAGTTGAAAGAGTGAGACCGGGTTCTGGACCACCCTCAGCTTGTTGATCTTCTGGTGGAATATCTGAAAATGATTAAAAAATTGTAATTTATTAATTATTAAATTCTAATAGAAATTAAAATTAATTAATTTAGTTATTTTTCTAATATCAATACATCTTCTTCAATATATGGAATATAAAATAAAAAGCTTTCTTACCAATATTTCCCTCATTTCTGCATTTAACAGCAGATGCGCCTCCAACTTCTCGAACTCACCAATCCCAGAGGAAAAGAGTAGAAGAGTGTGCCTGCATGAGTGAGTCCATCTGAGCTCTAAGAGACGACACTTCTGCTCTTAATTCAGAGATTAAGAGAGAGTGTCTTCTAATTCGCTCGTCTGTCCTATCCCGCTAATCGGACACTTTCAACTGAGTTGAAAGAGTGAGACCGGGTTCTGGACCACCCTCAGCTTGTTGATCTTCTGGTGGAATATCTGAAAATGATTAAAAAATTGTAATTTATTAATTATTAAATTCTAATTGAAATTAAAATTAATTAATTTAGTTATTTTTCTAATATCAATACATCCTCTTCAATATATGGTATATAAAATAAAAAGCTTTCTTACCAATATTTCCCTCATTTCTTCATTTAACAGCAGATGCGCCTCCAGCTTCTCGAACTCACCAACATTTCCCAGAGGAAAAGAGTAGAAGAGTGTGCCTGCATGAGTGAGTCCATCTGAGCTCTAAGAGACGACACTTCTGCTCTTAATTCAGAGATTAAGAGAGAGTGTCTTCTAATTCGCTCGTCTGTCCTATCCCGCTAATCGGACTCTTTCAACTGAGTTGAAAGAGTGAGACCGGGTTCTGGACCACCCTCAGCTTGTTGATCTTCTAGTGGAATATCTGAAAATGATTAAAAAATTGTAATATATTAATTATTAAATACTAATAGAAATTAAAATTAATTAATTTAGTTATTTTTCTAATATCAATACATCCTCTTCAATATATGGTATATAAAATAAAAAGCTTTCTTACCAATATTTCCCTCATTTCTTCATTTAACAGCAGATGCGCCTCCAGCTTCTCGAACTCGCCAACATTTCCCAGAGGAAATGTTGGCAAGTTGTTTGTAGAAGAGTGTGCCTGAATGAGTGAGTCCATCTGAACTCTAAGAGAAGACACTTCTGCTCTTAATTCAGAGATTAAGAGAGAGTTCCTTCTAATTCGCTCGTCTGTCCTATCCCGCTCTTCGGACTCTTTCAACTGAGTTGAAAGAGTGAGAGCGGGTTCTGGACCACCCTCAGCTTGTTGATCTTCTGGTGGAAAATCAGAAAATGATTAAAAAATATTGTAATATATTAATTATTAAATTTTAACAGAAATTAAAATTAATTAATTTAGTTATCTATCACCTAGTAGGGTATAAAAAAAATCTTTCTACATTGTTTCCCCATTTCTTTCAAATACAGCAGGCGCCTCCGCTTCTCGGAACTCGCCAACACAGAGGAAATGTGCAAGTGTTGGGAGTCTGGCCCTGATAGATCCATGGCTCTAAGGAGAAGGGGACAGTAACCAGAGAGAGGCTCTAATTCGCTCTCCGTCCTCGCTCTTGGCCTCTAAAGAGTTAAAGAGGACCGGGTACCACTCATGGGGGGAAATGATGTAATTATTAAATTCTAATTGAAATTAAAATTAATTAATTTAGTTATTTTTCTAATATCAATACATCTTCTTCAATATATGGAATATAAAATAAAAAGCTTGCTTACCAATGTTTGCCTCATTTCTGCATTTGACTGCAGATTCGCTTCCAACTTCTCGAACTCTCCAAATTGTTGAGGATTGTTTTTTGAGGATTGAGATTTTCCGTCTGAACTTAAATGTTAAATTATGAATGTCTAAATAAAACTGTTCAAAACTCTCCCCAACCTATTGTTTCCTGTCTACAATCCCTCTGATAATCTCATAATCACTCTCTGACGATCGAAATTGTTCCAACGACTCCTTCTTTAATTGGAATAATCAAAAGTACTATCCCCGCATGATCTAAAAGCACCTGCCAAAACTATTTTAATGCTACCATTGAGTCTCACCAAATTTCCTTGAAAAGTTGGTGTAGTGTGTTGACAAGCAAGTATGGATTTGCTTTTAAAATTTCCGCTGGAATAGAGTCGCAGCCCGCAGTTTTGTTTTTTTTTAATGATTTTATGACTGTGTAGGGAATTTATATTTATGGTGTATTTGCAATGTTGTACTACTGCGCAATACACGGTATATTGAGGCGCCAGAAATGGTAAATAGGTGGCGCCATACGTCGTTCTATTGCGCTCCGGATCAAACGTCGTAGTCAAGAGGCCATCAGGATGGTAAATAAGACGGCTACGACAAAACTCAATGCGATGGATATTGCATGTACTTTCTACCATCTTCGTTTCCATGTTATATGTTCGTAGTAGTCTCATATAGGCCTCGACAGATATTGGCTGATCTGTGAAAAGTATGAAGTCATCGCAGCTTATGTTTAGTTGGCGTAGTGAGTGACGTAGAATGTAATAATTGATGATGCTGTTTCCAATTCCGGTATCTACGTCGCCTGACATTCTGGTGCCTCGTTGGTGCTTTCTCATTGCCTTGAACGAGCACTGTTGCGTAACGTTTTCTTGCAAAGCTTGCGTAATTTTTGGATTTGTCCATAACAGCGTTGGTATAGTCTGTAGCACCTCGACAGTGGCATGTGCATCGAAGGTAGTATGGTCTTCCTCAGTATAGTACATATATCTCCTTTCAAGTTTGTCGGCAAGTTACTTTGCCGATATGGATATCGTACTTAAAACTTCGCTTAAGTGGTTTGACGCAGCGCCCAGAAGCCAAGTAAGATAATGGGTGCCTTGCTTGTATAAGTCTTGAAGCTTTGTACTTGCTTGTTGATAACTTTTCGAGCTTTATAAAAAGAGTGATGCCGCTCGAGATTTTTCGTCCATTCCGTTTTTCCTCAATAAGCTTTCTTACCAATGTTTCCCTCATTTCTTCATTTAACAGCAGATGCGCCTCCAGCTTCTCGAACTCGCCAATTTTCCCAGAGGAGAAGAGTAGAAGAGTGCCTGCATGAGTGAGTCCATCTGAGCTCTAAGAGACGACACTTCTGCTCTTAATTCAGAGATTAAGAGAGAGTTCCTTCTAATTCGCTCGTCTGTCCTATCCCGCTCTTCGGACTCTTTCAACTGAGTTGAAAGAGTGAGACCGGGTTCTGGACCACCCTCAGCTTGTTGATCTTCTGGTGGAATATCAGAAAATGATTAAAAAATATTGTAATATATTAATTATTAAATTTTAATAGAAATTAAAATTAATTAATTTAGTTATTTTTCTAATATCAATACATCCTCTTCAATGTATGGTATATAAAATAAAAAGCTTTCTTACCAATGTTTGCCTCATTTCTTCATTTAAGAGCAGATGCGCCTCCAGCTTCTCGAATTCGCCAACATTTCCCAGAGGAAATGTTGGCAAGTTGTTTGTAGAAGAGTGTGCCTGCATGAGTGAGTCCATCTGAGCTCTAAGAGAAGACACTTCTGCTCTTAATTCAGAGATTAAGAGAGAGTTTCTTCTAATTCGCTCGTCTGTCCTATCCCGCTCTTCGGACTCTTTCAACTGAGTTGAAAGAGTGAGAGCGGGTTCTGGACCACCCTCAGCTTGTTGATCTTCTGGTGGAATATCTGAAAATGATTAAAAAATTGTCATTTATTAATTATTAAATTTTAATAGAAATTAAAATTAATTAATTTAGTTATTTTTCTAATATCAATACATCTTCTTCAATATATGGAATATAAAATAAAAAGTTTTCTTACCAATATTTCCCTCATTTCTTCATTTAACAGCAGATGCGCCTCCAGCTTCTCGAACTCACCAACATTTCCCAGAGGAAAAGAGTAGAAGAGTGTGCCTGCATGAGTGAGTCCATCTGAGCTCTAAGAGACGACACTTCTGCTCTTAATTCAGAGATTAAGAGAGAGTGTCTTCTAATTCGCTCGTCTGTCCTATCCCGCTAATCGGACACTTTCAACTGAGTTGAAAGAGTGAGACCGGGTTCTGGACCACCCTCAGCTTGTTGATCTTCTGGTGGAATATCTGAAAATGATTAAAAAATTGTAATTTATTAATTATTAAATTCTAATTGAAATTAAAATTAATTAATTTAGTTATTTTTCTAATATCAATACATCCTCTTCAATGTATGGTATATAAAATAAAAAGCTTTCTTACCAATATTTCCCTCATTTCTGCATTTGACTGCAGATTCGCTTCCAACTTCTCGAACTCTCCAAATTGTTGGCAAACTGAGTTGAAAGAGTGAGAGCGGGTTCTGGACCACCCTCAGCTTGTTGATCTTCTGGTGGAATATCTGAAAATGATTAAAAAATTGTAATATATTAATTATTAAATTTTAATAGAAATTAAAATTAATTAATTTAGTTATTTTTCTAATATCAATACATCTTCTTCAATATATGGTATATAAAATAAAAAGTTTTCTTACCAATGTTTCCCTCATTTCTTCATTTAACAGCAGATGCGCCTCCAGCTTCTCGAACTCGCCAACATTTCCCAGAGGAAATGTTGGCAAGTTGTTTGTAGAAGAGTGTGCCTGCATGAGTGAGTCCATCTGAGCTCTGAGAAGACACTTCTGCTCTTAATTCAGAGATTAGGAGAGAGTGTCTTCTAATTCGCTCGTCTGTCCTACCCCGCTAATCGGACTCTTTCAACTGAGTTGAAAGAGTGAGACCGGGTTCTGGACCACCCTCAGCTTGTTGATCTTCTGGTGGAATATCTGAAAATGATTAAAAAATTGTAATTTATTAATTATTAAATTTTAATAGAAATTAAAATTAATAAATTTAGTTATTTTTCTAATATCAATACATCTTCTTCAATATATGGTATATAAAATAAAAAGCTTTCTTACCAATGTTTGCCTCATTTCTGCATTTGACTGCAGATTCGCTTCCAACTTCTCGAACTCTCCAAATTGTTGAGGATTGTTTTTTGAGGATTAAGATTTTCCGTCTGAACTTAAATGTTAAATTATGAATGTCTAAATAAAACTGTTCAAAACTCTCCCCAACCTATTGTTTTCTGTCTACAATCCCTCTGATAATCTCATAATCACTCTCTGACGATCGAAATTGTTCCAACGACTCCTTCTTTAATTGGAATAATCAAAAGTACTATCCCCGCATGATCTACAAGCACCTGCCAAAACTATTTTAATGCTACCATTGAGTTTCACCAAATTTCCTTGAAAAGTTGGTGTAGTGTGTTGACAAGCAAGTATGGATTTGCTTTTAAAATTTCCGCTGGAATAGAGTCGCAGCCCGCAGTTTTGTTTTTTTTTTAATGATTTTATGACTGTGTAGGGAATTATTATTTATGGTGTATTTGCAATGTTGTACTACTGCGCAATACACGGTATATTGAGGCGCCAGAAATGGTAAATAGGTGGCGCCATACGTCGTTCTATTGCGCTCCGGATCAAACGTCATAGTCAAGTGGCCATCAGGATGGTAAATAAGACGGCTACGACAAAACTCAATGCGATGGATATTGCATGTACTTTCTACCATCTTCGTTTCCATGTTATATGTTCGTAGTAGTCTCATATAGGCCTCGACAGATATTGGCTGATCTGTGAAAAGCATGAAGTCATCGCAGCATATGTTTAGTTGGCGTAGTGAGTGACGTAGAATGTAATAATTGATGATGATTTCCCAGAGGAAATGTTGGCAAGTTGTTTGTAGAAGAGTGTGCCTGCATGAGTGAGTCCATCTGAGCTCGAAGAGAAGACACTTCTGCTCTTAATTCACAGATTAAGAGAGAGTGCCTTCTAATTCGCTCGTCTGTCCTATCCCGCTCTTCGGACTCTTTCAACTGAGTTGAAAGAGTGAGAGCGGGTTCTGGACCACCCTCAGCTTGTTGATCTTCTGGTGGAATATCTGAAAATGATTAAAAAATTGTAATATATTAATTATTAAATTTTAATAGAAATTAAAATTAATTAATTTAGTTATTTTTCTAATATCAATACATCTTCTTCAATATATGGTATATAAAATAAAAAGCTTTCTTACCAATGTTTGCCTCATTTCTGCATTTAACAGCAGATGCGCCTCCAGCTTCTCGAATTCGCCAACATTTCCCAGAGGAAATGTTGGCAAGTTGTTTGTAGAAGAGTGTGCCTGCATGAGTGAGTCCATCTGAGCTCTAAGAGAAGACACTTCTGCTCTTAATTCAGAGATTAAGAGAGAGTTCCTTCTAATTCGCTCGTCTGTCCTATCCCGCTCTTCGGACTCTTTCAACTGAGTTGAAAGAGTGAGAGCGGGTTCTGGACCACCCTCAGCTTGTTGATCTTCTGGTGGAATATCTGAAAATGATTAAAAAATTGTTATTTATTAATTATTAAATTTTAATAGAAATTAAAATTAATTAATTTAGTTATTTTTCTAATATCAATACATCTTCTTCAATATATGGAATATAAAATAAAAAGTTTTCTTACCAATATTTCCCTCATTTCTTCATTTAACAGCAGATGCGCCTCCAGCTTCTCGAACTCACCAACATTTCCCAGAGGAAAAGAGTAGAAGAGTGTGCCTGCATGAGTGAGTCCATCTGAGCTCTAAGAGACGACACTTCTGCTCTTAATTCAGAGATTAAGAGAGAGTGTCTTCTAATTCGCTCGTCTGTCCTATCCCGCTAATCGGACTCTTTCAACTGAGTTGAAAGAGTGAGACCGGGTTCTGGACCACCCTCAGCTTGTTGATCTTCTGGTGGAATATCTGAAAATGATTAAAAAATTGTAATTTATTAATTATTAAATTCTAATTGAAATTAAAATTAATTAATTTAGTTATTTTTCTAATATCAATACATCTTCTTCAATATATGGAATATAAAATAAAAAGCTTTCTTACCAATATTTCCCTCATTTCTGCATTTGACTGCAGATTCGCTTCC